CAGTTGAGGGTGACCAGGCCAGCAGGGGAGGGCACTTGGGGTTTACTGTCCACCAGGGGAGGGCAGTTGGGGGCAATCAGGCCAGCAGAAGAGCAGTTATTGATCAGGCTGGCAGGAAAGTGGTTGGTGGGTGATCAGATTGGCAGGCAGGCAAGCAGTTGGGAGCCAGCAGTCCCAGATTGACAGTCGGACATCCCACAAGGGGTCCCAGGTTGGAGTGCAGGATAGGCTGAGGGATCCCCTCCCCCAAGTCATGAATCTCGTGCACCAGGCCTCTAGTATTTAATAACTCCTTATCAATTTCTAATATTTGCCAAACAAAAATAAAAGAAACTTATACAGATGGTAGAGGAAGGAGGGAGGAAGAGAGAAAAATGCAAGCCAGATATTTAATTTTAAATTTTCTAGCAGCCTGATTAAAAAACAAACTGATTGAATTTTCCTAAATATATTTTTATTTATTTCAGGGAGGAAGGGAGAGAGAAATAAAACATCAATAATGAAAGAAAATCATTGAGTGGCTGCTTCCTGCACACCCCACACTGGGGATCAAGCCTGTAACCAAGGCATACCCAGACCGGAAATGAAACCATGACCTCCAATCACTGAGCCATGCTGACCACATTGATGGAATTCATTTTAATGCTAAGTTTTATTTAAGCCAATACATCCAAACTATAACATGTCCTCTATATAAAAAACTTACTTTGCCCTAGCCGGTTTGGCTCAGTGGATAGAACGTCAGCCTGGGGACTGAAGGGTCCTATGTTTGATTCCAATTAAGGGCACATGCCTGGGGTTGCTGGCCTGATCTCCACTAGGGGGCATGCAGGAGGCAGCCAATCAATGATTCTCTCTCATCATTGATGTTTCTCTCTCTCTGTCTCTCTGTCTTCCTTCCTCTCTGAAATCAAATAAAAATATATTTGTTAAAATATGTATTTTACTTTTTGCTCCAAATCTTTGAAATATGATATGTATTATACACTTATAGCCCTTCTAAACTCAAATACTAAATTTCAGTTAAGTAAAATGTAGTCCTTCCAAAATAATAAAATGTATAAAAGAAAATATTTTACACTGCTAGATTTTAAATTTAACTAAAATTAAGCATTCAGTTCCTCAGATACATTGGCCACATTTTAAGTGATTGGTAGCAACATATGACTTTACTATAATCAGGTGCATATGATGGGATAAAGTTCTTCATATGGAAAATATAATTAATAATACAAGAGTAAACTTTTGCAACTCACAATTGTAAATCTACTTTTGATCTACCCTGTATAATTGGCTGTAAGAGTGAAGAGACTCAGGAGTTCTTTTCTTGATAGATCTAGTATTTAGAAGGAATTGGAGGTTTTCACAACTTCTAACAAATTTCATTATGAAAATATTTAGAATTATATGAAGACCTATAAAAATATCTCTCCCCCCAAATAATGTTTCTTTGCCTGTGTAACTAAAACAGGTTAACACATTATTGACTTTGAGATCCATCCTCTGTATCCTACAATTTAGTAGTATACTAGTAGAGATAAAAGTTATCTTCCCTGTCAGGGAGTTTAATTCAGAGTCAAAAATAACTTCTCATTTATTATATTTAGATGGGCAGGAAGAGATTTTGAAGATTAGCTTTAAATTATAAATAGTTCCACTGTCAAATAAAAATGTAGAATTTTGAGTGGCAGGTTAAAGAATCCTCATACCTCAGATAATAAGTTATTGTACATTTTGAAGTAGAAGAGTACATAATGAAGTCTATGTTTCCAGAAAGCAAATCAGAATCCCGTGTACAAGTAGACTGGTAATAATACAGGTCTGTAGAGAAAATGTGGAGCTCCTAGCATCCTTAGCTGGTATATGCTCTTATTTCTGTCAGGAATTATTTTCCTCTTACATTGACAAGACAGGAACTTATCCTTCAAAATCTAGTTCAAAGTCAAGTGTTTCCTGGAAGCAGTTGTCAGATTGAGTCACTTCACCTCTGATCCCACTGAATTTCTTTCCAAATCTTAAACAGAAGTCAAATTATAGAGAAACTAAAGTGGTGGTTGTAGCGGAAGAGGGGATGAAGAGTTGTTTAATTGGTGCAGGTTCCATTTTACAAGATGAAGAGTTCCGTGGATGCATGGAGTGATGGTAGTATAGAACTAAAGTACAGGCCTTTCCCCAGCCTAACTCTTTCCCTTTCAGGTCACAATTTAAATGGCCTTCCCTTTTCAAGGCCAAAATGGTTTAGGTATATTTGTTATAACCTCTTATGTACTCCATACTTTTCTTATAGAGCTCTCATTCCAATTACAACCTATAGCAAATTATGTGGTATATTAGTTTGCAGGGCTTCCATAACAAAATAGTATAGACTGGGTAGCTTAAACAACAAAACTTTATTTTTTCACAGTTCTGGAGGCTAGAAATTCAAAATCAAGGAATAGGCAGGTTGTCTCTCCTTGCTTTTAGAAGGCAGCCTTCTTCCAGTGTCCTCATATGGCCATTTCTCTGTGCATGTGCATCCCTGGTGTCTCCCTGAGTGTCCAAATTTCCTCTTCATATAAAGACACCAGTCAGGTTGAATTAGGACCTACCTTAAGATTCTCATTTTAACTTGTCCCCACTTTAAAGGCCCTATTTCCAAAACAGTCATATTCTGAGATGAAATTCTAATGAACTTTGGAGGAACACATTTTAACCCACTTACCTCTGTTGATAAACTCTGACACTTCTTTGTTATGGGCGACCCGCGAATGATGACCACCAGTCAGCCAAATTGGAATTTAGAGTCTTTATTACGAACTCGAGTCTGGGCTCCCATCTCAACTGACACAGCAGCGAGCAACGAGGGCCCCAACCCACTCTAAGCATGCTACTTTTATCCCCGTCTTAGGGATGCCTGGCAGATTATGATCGGCTACAAGTTTTCAGCTTAAGCAGTCTGTTTGACCTGGTTTGGTCTGTTTGTCCTGCCTTACGGCTACTGGAAACAGGACGTGCCTGCCTGGGGGTTGAGCCTTGCAACAGAACTATGTTATGACTAAAAGTTATGCTACATTCTTTGTTATGTGTCTGGTTGCTCGTTCCTTCCCTGGCCTGGATTTCTGCCACGATAGGGCCTTGCTGGCCATCTGGAGCCCTTGCCGGCCACAACATTCTTATCTTGTTCTCATTTCAGGATATTTATAGTTGCTATTCTCTTTTTAGAATATTCTACTTCTAATTTTTCAAACAACAGGTTTCACTCAACTTTCAAACCTGAGCACTATCATCTGACAAGAACCATCCCAGACCACCTTATTTAAATTAACCTTAAAAGTCCCTCTATTCCATTACTTTTTATTATTATTATTATTATTATTATTGATTTTTTTTTTTTACAGAGAGGAAGGGAGAGGGATAGAAAGCTAGAAACATTGATGAGAGAGAAACACCGACCAGCTGCCTCCTGCACATCCCCTACCAGGGGGAATCAAACCCGGGACCTTTCAGTCCACAGACCGACGCTCTACTACTGAGCCAAACCGGTTCCGGCCTATTACCGTACATTACTTTTTTTCTTCCATAGCACTCACCAGAATGCCAGGTCCAGGAAAAGGAGGTTGTGTGTGTGTTATGTGGCAACTATTGTAGCCCAGACACTGGGCTAATGAACTCATGAGCAAATGAATTTTATAACCATTTACCAGAGTATAATGACTTTATTCAATCCACTAAGAAAACCTGCCCAGGATGGGCCACATTTTTGTGAAGCTTTCTGAATCTCAGCTCTAACACTTACGAACCGTGAGATCTCTGGCAAGTCACTTAACCTCTGTGGGCCTCATGTTCCCCAACTGTATGACAATACCTTCTTCAGAGTTCTTCTGAAGATTAAATAAAAATAAGGCACGTATGCTACCCAGCACAAGGCTTTGGGCCTATATCATACACGCTATCAACTGAAATGCTATTGGGTTAGATGTTTTCCAAAGTGTGGCACCTATGGATAGTGTGAAAATGTCAAAGGTGGTACAGACCGTTGAAGCTATTACCGTTTCAATTCTTTGGATTAAAATAAGGCCTTCTTTCTAAATATGTCTTGACTATCTCCTTTTCTTTTTAACGGAAATAGCATTTAGGTTCAAGGACACACCGCAGTTAATACGTAAATTTAACGTTATTTTCTATTGTAATTCTTAAGCCAGTCTGACTTTGGTCTAGTTACGGAATCTATGCCTCAACTTACTCAAATGCAACGCGGGGACCAGGACATTACCACCTCCGTGAGGTATCCTGAATATAAAAGCAACTGTTACACTAAGGTGATCAGACGTCCCAATTTTTAACGATTTGTCCCGCGTCCCGCGGCATTTTTAAAAAGTCCCGATTTTTTTAAAGATTCTTTTAAATCTTTCGGACTTTTTTAAAACGCCGCACGCGGGCCACGGGACAAATTGTTAAAATCGGGACTGTCCCGCCAGAAGCGGGACGTCTGGTCACCTTATATTACACGTAAAGCGATGCAGGACCCAGAAAACCCGCCATCCATGTTAGAAACATGTGAAAGGGACGGTCTTGGCGGGATGGTTTGGCAACAGCCTCAAAGGTCTCACCAGGACAACTGGGTCAGCGACGCGCGGCAGGGCCGGGTCTGTGAGGCGGGGCGGCGCCCGCCACCACCAGACCTGCCGCTCGGACGGGTGCGCGGTCTGAGGGGCCGGCCGAAGCCCCCGGGGGACCAGAGCTCGGGCCTCCCCGGGCTTCTGCCTCTTTGGGTCTCCTTCCCGTCGTTGAGAGACTCATCCCTGCGTGGGCAGTCGCGCCCTTACCCTGAATTTTCCTCAGCAGGTAAGCTCCGCCCTGAAGGGGACTCGAAGAGCCCGGGAGTGTTCTGGCGCGAAAAACAGGGGCGGGGCCACGGGGCGGGGAGACGCACGCTACGTAAGACGCCGCCGCCGTGTGCGTAGTGGTGCGCATGCTCGGTGGGCTTTGTAGCGGACATCCGGGCTCCGGGGAGAGCCAGCATGGCGTCTGAGCGTAAGACTAAGTTGTCCAAAAATCTGCTGCGCATGAAGGTACGGGGTGCGGGGAAGCTAGGATGGGAGGGCAGGGCGACCGGGTCCTCCTGGCCTATCCGAGGCCGGAGCAAAGGACGTCCAGGGGCCCCAGAGGGCCTCCAGCTCTCGCGTTCATTCATTCGCTTAGCGCCTGCTCTGTGTTAGGCTCTGGGAACTGGGTTAGAAAGCCGACAGATTCTCTCCTAAAGCCACCTGTGGAATAGGAGAGACAGAAACGTAAAAGGGAATACAGCGAAATAAGAGCAGGGATGCCAGAAGCGCCGGCCAGGAACTTGGGGCTTCTGCGGGAAGCGGTGCTTTAGCAGAGACTAAAGGATGGGTGGGAGGATAGGGACATAGCAACAGAAACTGAGGCAAGAGAGCGCTCAGGAGTCTGAGAGGCAAAACCCAAAACTTTTATGCTGTGTTTGAAGAACTAAAGATGAGTCAGTATGTCTGGAAGGCAAGTAGCAAGACATGGGCCTGAAAAAGGAGGCAGGTCACAGCAGGGATTTTTGGGCCAGGTTAAGGATATTTTTCTTTTATCTTGTGAGCATTGGGAAGCTGTTGAGTTAGGGAACAGTATCATAACCTGTGCCTCTTATTCTGCCCTGTGGGTAATACTTAGTGAAAGAAAGGCCCAACAGGGTCCAAAATTACAGTCAGAAAGATCACCCAGAAGTTCTGGTGATCTAGGTGAGTATTCCAGGGGTGGTGCTATGGAATTATAACAGTTGAGGTGAAAGTGAATTATATCAAGCAAAATTTACTTTTATATTTCGAATTTAATCAAATAAGATCAAAACGGACAAAAACAAGGGTAGTTAAACTGAATACAGGAATTAAAACGGGAAACAACCTATCCTTAAAACTTAATAATAGAAAACTTGTTAGTTCTTGCTATGTACCAGATACTCTACTAAGTGCTTTAAATATATGAACCCAAGAATTCCACATAATCCCTTGAGATGGGTTGTTATCCCTCTTCAACAGTGGAGGCAACGGAAACGGAGAACTAAGTAATTTGCCCAAAGTTACTTACTGCTAATAAAAGTGTAGACAAGACTTAAACTTCAGGAAGTCTGTCCCTAGACCCCATTTGCTATCAATTACTATTGGTTGCTGAACACTTAGAGATGTAAACTGTTAAATGTTATGTCTAGAGAGGTGCAAAATTTTCAGGAAGAGGAATCAAGCATAAATAATGTTCTGAAAGACTGAAGAGTAAATATTGCAAGTGCAAAATGTGAGTTGAGCTAGGGTGTAACTATGGATGAATAGGGTGATTGAAAGTGAAGGGTAAATCAGTATAATTTATAGTTTCTAAAGTAATTCATGCATATTAGCAAAATTTGAATCTTTACTGAACAGAGTTTTCTCTTGGTTTATGGTTTGTAATCATGTAAATTTCAAGGAAGTGGAGTAGATTGACAATTACTGAAAAGATTTTAGAAGTTGTTGAACTCTTGGAATAAGTCAAATGAAGATGTGCTGGGTGATTAAGGACCAGACCAAAGATCTGACTTGAAGTTAGGAATGAAGAAATTAACTCTTAAAAAATCATTTACATCTTACCTGAGTGATTGAGAGAGACACAACTAGACATTGGAAGCAAAGGAGAAGTTCTCTATTTGGGTTCACAACTTCTGTCATTGTTAAGAAAGAACTCATTGGCAGGATAGCAAAAGACACTATATATACAGATAGAGTGGAATGTCTTATGAGAAGGACTGGAGCAGCTGCCTGAGGTTATTGTATTCAGTGTAGCTGATCCTCAAGAGCTAAAAATATAGAGCAAGACTGTCAAGGTTGAGGATTTAATATTGACTCATTTATTTTCCAGTGCACTTGAAGTCTGACTTGAGTCATCTATTGGGGGGTCTGGCAGTCGATCCTGATGGGAAATAGAAAGTGAAGGATGTAGGTGGAAGGTCTGTGAGTATGATGGAAATGTAGAGAAGGTACTTATTTGTGATAACTCTTTTGGACTCAAGACAGGAGTTAGTGAACTTTTTCTGTAAAGAAATAGGTAAATACTTGAGGTTTGTGGGCCAGTTTGTCTAACCAACTTGGCTTTTGTGCCTCCAAACCAAATGAGTATGGCTTTGCTCCAATAAAAGTTTATTTACAAAAACGGAAGTCTAGCCTAAGGACTATATTTTGTGATACCTGCTTCAAGCCCTTGGTTGTGAGTAAAACTAAATCAGTAGCTTTAGAGTATGTTCTTAGATGCTGTAGAGAAAGAAGAATTGAACTGCTGCCCAAGTCTGGAGTTGCTTCATTCATAGTCACAGGGTTTTCTATCCTTTTCATATGTATAGAAAAATATATGTGTGTGTGTGTGTGTGTGTGTGTGTGTGTGTGTGTGTGTGTGTGTGTATGTTTCGGTATATATGAATATGGCTATTTCTATACCATAAAGAATATCTACTTAAAAATAAGAGCTAAGAGCCGAAATCAGTTTGGCTCAGTGGATAGACCGTTGGTCTGTGAACTGACGGATCCCGGGTTCAATTCCTGTCAAGGGCATGTACATTGGTTGAGGACACATCCCCAGTAGGGGGTGTGCAGGAGGCAGCTGATCGATGATTCTCTCTCATCAATGTTTCTAACTCTATCCCTCTCTCCTCCTCTCTGTAAAAAATCAATAATATATATATATATATTTTTTAATTTATTTATTTTTTTTTTTTTAAATAGGAGCTAAGAGGGCAGTTGGAAGGATTTGTGAATTTTGCCATGAAGAATAATATGCATGGCCATGGCATACTCAGCTCCAGGGCTCCTTATGTGCCGCACCAGCTCAGCCAGGTTCAGTGAACCTGAGTGGGGGTGATGAAGGATTAGAAAAGACATACAAGAGAAGGAAAGCTGGGACTCGGTGGGATGCTGCTTCCCTGATGGGGACCCAGCAGCACCAACACCCACAAGCCATGTCTTTATGTTATAGCAGATGCCATGAGGCACAGGGCCTGATCAAGATGTTTACAACATTCTCATGGGTTTTGATCCTACTCAATTACATGCACCTGATCAAACTTTGTTTACTTGCAACCTATATCACTTAGGCACGTTGGACCATGTGTTCAGACCATAGGTCCAAACTTACAACTACAGCTGTTGGCTATAATTGTCCTGGGAGAGCTCTGCCTTCCAAGCTGGGACTTGCACATGGCCACGAGAGGACTGTGCCCTCTCATAAATCCAAAACTTGAACCTATCCAAACACTGTAACCTCACCCCACAGAATGAGTAATGGGATAAGACATACATGCTTAAAGAGAACCAGCCAAGAAAGGAAATTTGGAAAAATAAGACAAGTCTAGAATCAGTTCCATTCAGAAAACCTTTATTGAACTCTTTTCTGTGTACCAGTTGTAGCCTACATACCAATAATGTAAGATGAACAAGAGATGTGGTCTGCATTCACAATCTTAGTCTTTTGGGATACATCTATCTATATATAAAAAAAGTCAAAGCGACCATTTGACTGGTAGCTATGATGCACACTGTCCACCAGGGGGCAGACATTCAATGCACAAGCATGGAAAAATGGAACAGACTGATGAATCTCAGAGGAAAGGAGGGAAGGGAGAGGACAGGAAGAGATTAACCAAGATCTTGTATGCATACTAGAGGCCCAGTGCACGGATTCATGCACCAGTGAGGTCCCTCGTCCTGGCCTGTGGGGATCAGGCCAAATCCAGCAATCTGACATCCCCCAAGGGGTCCTGGATTGCAAAAGGAGCAGGCCAGGCTGAGGGACTGCACCAGGCCTCTAGTAGAAGTATAATGAACAATAAACCAGTGTTTATAAAGCTGTATTAGAAGCAAGGAATGTTTATCAAAGGTCGTGTGCTCTGGGCCTTCACGAGTAAGTATTTTGCCAGGCAGAAGATAGAAGCATAATGTTGAATAGCAAAGGCAGAAGAACTGGGAAGTACAGGATTTGCTTTCCAGGAATTGCCAGCTCTTTCCAACAATGAGATAAGCACAGGAGAAAGGATAAGGACAGATGTACAAACAATGCAATGCCAGGACATGGATGGTGGTACAATCAATACAGTTTACCCAGACTTCATCATTTTACTTGCACTCTTGTGTCTGTGTATGTGTGTGTATGAATTTTCCATACAACTTGTTATATGTAGATTTATCTAACTGCCATCACATTCAAGATACAAAGCTTTTCCATCACCACCTTTGTGACATCCCTAACCCCTGGCCATTATTAATCTATTACTCATTATTATAATTTTGTTATTTCAAGGGTATTATATAAAAAGAATCATAAAGCATATAATCTTTGAGATTTTCACTCAGCATAATTCACTTAAGACCCAGTTAAGTTGTTGAGTATATGAATAGTTCCATCCTTTTTATTGCTAAGTAGAATTCCATGCTGTGGATATTCTATGGCTTATTTTAACCACTCACCTATTTAAGAGTATTTTGATTGTTTACATTTCTTGGCTAGTACAAATAGAGCTGCTGATTGCTGGGTCATGTGGTAAATTCATGTTTAGTTGGATAAGGAACTATGTAGCTATTTTCCACAAAAGAGGTAATTTCCTTACATCTTCATCAGAATTTGCTGTTATACTTATATTTGTGAATATTTTTCAAGTCATTTCATTTAGTAGTCATTGGTAAAGCCTTATGCCCAAAAATGTTTATGTTTTGGAAGAGCTAGAGTTGATGGAAGCACAATATAGAGTCTGGATAAGGGAAAGAAATGGAGGTAAATGGAAACCAGTGTAATCCTAGACCTAACTGCTGGGTGGGTTCTAAATTTATTTTTTCCTGTTATTAATATTTCATCATTTTGCTGTGATTAACTTCTTGTTTTGCCTATTGCCTGGAAATAGTGCTATTATTTATGCTAGGGAGAAACTAGAACAGTACTGCTTTTTTCTACTGGCCTAATTTGAGTTGAGCTTCTACAGATATATTGTCTATCTATATATATAAAAGCCTAAGTGACCAGTCGACCAGTCACTATGATGCACACTGACCACCAGGAGGCAGACACTCAATGCAGGAGCTGCTCCCTGGTGGTCAGTGAGCTCCTACAGTAGGAGCACCGCTCAGCTGACCGAAGGGTACCATTCGCAGGACTCACAACTGGCCGTTGCAGTGAGCCTACCAAGTAGTGGCAGCAACAGGTGCAGCCGGGCCAGGATGAGCAGGAGCAGCTGGCAGCGTTGGACTGCCAGTTTCGGCCCAATCTTTGAAGCCATACCAAGGAACATCCACTGGTGCATGAATCTGTGCACTGGGCCTCTAGTTGCAAAATAAAGAGCAGCTGTAGAGTTGATCAGCATTTCATATAATAGGATAGATACAAGTGAAGAGCAGGCTTTATGGGGTCCTCAATCATGAGGTGGGATTTCTGTAGAAATGGGGAAGAGCAAGTGAAAGAATAAAGTTATTTGAGGTGTTGTTTGTTTGTTTTTTTAACTTTAAGTTGGGAATATTAGTTGCTGACACTGATTTTGTTTTGATAGTTCATGCAAAGGGGACTGGACTCAGAAACCAAGAAACAACTAGAAGAGGAAGAAAAGAAAATCATTAGTGAAGAGCATTGGTACTTGGATTTACCAGAGCTTAAAGAGAAAGAGTAAGTTTTGTTAGAAATTACATTAATGGCTCTTTGGGCATTCAGAGTGAAATCTCTATAAATGTAACTCATCATTCCAGTGACACAAAGCCCATGAAATAGCATCTATTCAGTTTCTTGAGAGAGCCTTACAAGTAGTTTTCTATAATTGTTAAACCTATAAGAGGTCTACTTGAATTTTATACATTTTGATTAACCCTTGGCTATCATTTATAACATCTCCCCCCCCCCTTTTTTTTTTTTCATTGCATAAAGGAATCTAGCCCATATCTCTGGTAGTAACTGGGGATCTTTTATGAGATTCTCTAATGTACATGCTACATATTAAGTTCCATAGATTAAGTGTATACTTCTGGGCTCTCTAGTTTTATTTCAGGTTAACAGAATTTTTCATTAGACTGAGCTTCTTGAAGACAGTCAAGACATTTTTGTTTTGTTTCTTTTCTCTTTTTTAAAAAAATGTTTTTATTTCAGAGAGAGGAAGGGAGAGAGAAAAATAGAAACACCAGTGATGAGAGAGAATCATGAATCACCTGCCACTTGCACACCCCTTACTGAAGCTTGATGAACCTGCAACTTGGGTATGAGTCCTGACCAGGAATTGAACTGTGTCCTCCTGGTTCATAGGTCAATGCTCAACCACTGAACCACACTGGGCAGGCTTTTATCGTAAAAAATGTTTTACTATTAATACCAATTGTCTTAGCTAACATTCATTGAGTCTGTAATGTGTGCTAGGAACACATATATATAGTATTTTTGTGGGTTTGTGTGGTTTTTTTTAATCCTCACCCAAGGCTATTTTTCCCATTGATTTTTAGAAAGGCAGGGAGGTTGAGAGAAAAAAAGATGAGAGGCTTCGATCAGTTGCCTTCCCCATGTGCCCCAACCTGGGCTTGGTATTGAACCTGCAACCCAGGTACATGCCCTTGACTGGGAATCAAGCCTGAGACTTTTCAGTGTTCCTGTATCCATTGAACATACACATCTCTTAATTATTTAATCCTCATAGCAAACTTGAGAGCTGTCTACTATATTTTAGCCATTTTATAGTTGAGGAAACTGAAGCTTATGAGAAAATAATTTTCTCAGTGTCACCCAGCTAGTCATTGCTAAAGCTGAGATAACACACTAGACCAGTGGTTGGCAAACTCATTAGTCAACAGAGCCAAATATCAATACTACAACAATTGAAATTTCTTTTGAGACCTGAAAACCAACTTCTGCGCATGGGCCACAAAGTTTCAATCGCACTGAACATGCACAACCATGTGGTATTTTGTGGAAGAGCCACACTCAAGAGTCCAAAGAGCTGCATGTGGCTTGTGAGCTGCAGTTTGCTGACCACTTCACTAGACCATTGCTCTTCCACTATAAACTTGTTTGATGATTGATAAATAATTTTGAATGAAGGAGTGATAGATCTACATTATCCATTAATTTATGTAAAATTTTCTAGAAGCTACTTATCATTTCTTCTTGATGCTTGTCTTACCTTAATGACCTCTATGCTAAGATGATTTTACTTAAACTTTGTGAAAGAACTAGAGATACTGCATATTATTATCTTCAGGCATATTTGTTTTTCCTTTCTGTACCTTATAATTCTTTTTTTTTTTTTTTTTTTTTTAACATTTTATACTCCCTTGTTCATTTGGCTGATTGTCTCCTTTTGGAAGGTTAGATACTCCTCTCCAAAGATAAAAAGTATGTCCCACCAAGAGGGATAGGAGGAAGCTACTTTGTTTTCTCTGCTTACTTCTGTATATACTTGCTTTTTTGTTGTTGTTGCTTATCAGAGGAAGGAAGATGTTAAGGAGCAGGGGAGATAATGCCAGAGATGGTATGGATTTGGAAGCAGGGAGTGTAGAAAGGAACCTTTACTGACTGGTAAGGAGCTATAATTTCATTTTATGCCTTGACCAAACTTGCACAAAGTATCCCAGATATCCCAGGAGGATATCCATCTTGTTTTCAGTATTCCCTGCCCCCATTTCCCAGAAAAATGACCTTTAGATTTCTTTCCTAAGAGGTAAATGTCTCAGTTCATTTGAGCTACTATAACAAAATACCACAGACTAGGTAGCTTATACACAACAGAAATTGATTTCTTACAGTTTTAGAGGCTGGAAATCTAAGATCAGGAGAATGTGTGCCTGAATTTAGATTTCCTCAGGCAGAGGCGGTCCTGCAGGAAGTGAGGTGCTAACTGGACTACAGGGGAGGAACCTAAAGAACAGTGGTTCTCAATGTTTTGGACTCAAGGATTATTTACATTTTTTAAAAATTATTTGGAACCCTTAAAAAGCTTCTTAAAAATAGCTTAAGACAACTAGAAGAGGAAGAAAAGAAAAATCATCAGTGAAGAGCACTGGTATTCTTCATATTGATATTTATATAAGAAACTAAAATATTTTTAAAATATTTATCGATATTTAGAAACTGATGCATTACATGTTAGCGCAAATAACACATTTTTGCATGCAAAAGAACTTTTCCAAGACCAAAAAAAAAATATTAGGGAGAAAAATGGCATTATTTTACATTTTTGCAAATCTCTTTAATGTCTAGCATTATAGAGGACAGCTGGATTCTTCTATCTCCCGCATTCAGTTTGTTATAGGATGCTGTTTTGGTTGACATACATAAAGTTCACCCTCACACTTGATGATGTAGTTGAGGATAGAGGTGTGTTGTAATACCTTTTTCAGATAATTCTTTGATACTACTCCAAAACACAGTAAGTAGTAGTTTTTTAGATGTTAACTGCAATGAGGAACCTGAAAACAAATTTGTCATAATCATTAGTCTATCTTACATTTTTAATAGATATTTTGTCAATGTATAATTTCATAACATTATGCATTGCTTATTTGGAATATATTAGCTTAATGAGTTATATGGATTTTCCAAATAACTCATTTCATTGCACAGTATCAAAAATTACATCATTAATATTACTGTGGGCTTCATCAAAAAAGGCTTTGAGTATTGGGAACCTGCCCAGAATGACATATACAAGCTGTTCAAAATTCTAATTTTTGCTTTAAAGCTTGAATTTTATTATTGGCAATAAGTACTCTCAGTTGTTTTCCTTGAGATAACAGATTTACTTTATTTATTTTCAAGAAAATAAATGCTAAGTACCCAAGTTTGAATAACTACGGTTATAATGTATCGAGAAAAAAGTAGCTAGTTCAATTCACAACTCAATCACACAAGTGCATTTTCTCAAGATAGTCATACTTTACTAATCAGAAGTATCTTATAAATGCTTCCCATTTTGTATAGAGAATATTTGTAAAAAGTGTAATCAAGGGCTAAAATCAATAGAAATAAATTTTTAGTGCTTCATTTAGGACATAATTATTGGCTTTTATTATTATTATTATTATTATTATTATTATTGTGAAAGCTAGCGGTAGACAATGTAATGACTGTTAGTACAGTCTGGTATGATTACTTCAATTCATAAGATGTGATTTTACCCCTAATTGCTTTTGCACACACTGTAAATATCAATATACCGTAGTAAAAGAGCAAATAATGTCTTAGTGTTATCAGGGAACATCCTAGTGTTATGAGGGTGTACTTTTTTTATGTACTTCAACCAAGACATTTTGACCTCTTAGCATTTTTACCTTCTCTCGCTCTTTCCAAGTCATAGAGGCTTCCTTACTGTTTCTCAGGAAAGCCACTTACATTCTTCTTTGGGGGCCTTTACTTTTAACTAGTTCTAGTATTTTTCCACTGGTATCCTCATATCTTTTTTTTTTAATATATTTTTTATTGATTTTTTTTACAGAGGAAGGGAGAGAGTTAGAGAGCTAGAAATGTCGATGAGAGAGAAACATCGATCAGCTGCCTCTTGCACACCCCCTACCCGGGATGTGCCCGCAACCGATGTACATGCCCTTGACCGGAATTGAACCTGGGACCTTTCAATCGGCAGACCAACGCTCTACCACTGAGCCAAACCCACTCTACCACTGAGCCAAACCGGTTTCGGCGGTATCCTCATATCTTGTTCCTCATTGTCTTTTGACCATCCCATCCAAGAGGCCTACCCAGACCACACCTCATAAACCAACGAAACACAAATTTTTAGATAAAAAGAATTTGGATGAATTAGATAGAATTCTGTTTTCATGTCTCTTGGTTTTAAAGGTGGAATTGAAATTGCTGGATCATATGGTTGGCATATATGTAACATAGAATAAGCTTTCAGATCAGTCTCCAAAGTGATTGTACCATTTTTCACTTTCACTTTAGATATTTTATTTTTCTAAAATTTCTATTTGGTAATGTTTTTCTTTTCTTTTTTTTTAATTCACGTTATTTGTATTTTCATTCCATTCATATTTTCCTTTAAATTCTTGACCATATTTATAATAGCTATTTTAATGTGTTCTACTAATTCTATCATTTTTCTTTTTTTATTGACTTGTTTTCTGTTAATGGGTCAAATTTTTCTGCTCCCTTACATGTCTGGTGCTTTGTGTGTTTTTTTAATCCTCACTTGAGGATTTTTTTTTTTTCATTCATTTTTAAAGAGAGGAATGGGGGAAGCGAGGAATCCTTGATTGATGTTAGAAAGAAACATCAGTCAGTTTCCTCCCATATAAGCCCCAATTAGGAACCAGACCCACAGCCTTTTGGTGTATGGGACAATGCTCAAACCAATTGAGCTACCCAGCCAGGGGTCTAGTAATTTTTAATTGTGTGCTATACATTATGTTATATTGCTGAGTACCCATTCTTATTAAAGGGTTGAAATTTGTTACATTAGGCAGCTAATTTACATACTGATCAACTTGATCTGTTTTTGTTAAAGTAAGTTTCATAGCCTTAACTCTAGGGCTAGCTTAGTAGTACTCTGAGGTGTGACCTTTCTATTCATTGTCACAGGGTTTTCAGCTTGGTCTCTTCATTTTTGGTACAAAAGTCAAATATTTCCATCCTCTGTGCAAAGTTTCATATTTGTTCAACATATAATTCCAGAGTAAATTTTCTTTCCCAGTGTGGTAAACAAAAATGGTTTAATCTCCAAGCCTTCATCTCTGGAATCTGTATTACTTTATATCCCCAAATTAACTTTACTAATATACTAATATGATTAAGTTAAAGATCTCTCTGGATTATCTCAGTGAGATCTAAATACAATTAATTATATCCTTATAAAAGGGAGACAGATTTCATACACACAGAGGAGAAGACATTGTGACCATGGAGGCACAGAGTGAAGTGATGTAATCATAAACCAATGGATGCTGGATGCCAACATAAGCTGGAGAGGCAAGGAATGAGTTCTTTTCTCCCTCCCTTGAGAATGGATGGGGTATGTCCAGCCCAGGCCATATAAGACCCATGAAATCATTTGGTCTAGCCCTGCCAAGGCATTAGGGGTGAGTTAATTAAATGTTTAACCAAATACAGCAGGCTAAGTTGATAATTGTGTACAGCCCATGAATCATATATAATAAAAGGCTAATATGCAAATTGTCCCCTTGACCAGGAGTTCGACCAGGGGATGGAGCCAGCCAGCCAACTGCCTATCACCCCACCCAATTGGGGGTGGGGCTGGACTGCCAACCATCCACAGTCCATCCCCCCTGCCAGCCTGGCCCAGCCTAGCCTGATGGAGCAGGCCAGCTGGACTCTATCCATGCACAAATTGATGCACCAGGCCTCTAGTAATGTTATAAATATCCAAATGGCCCTTGGCAGAAAATAAGTTTCCCAGCCCTGCTCTAGAGGGAGGGCAGCCCTGCTGACACCTTGATTTTGGTCCAATGAAATTTATTTCAGACTTCCAGAATTATAAGAACATAAATTCCTGTTGCTTAACCCCCCCACTTAATTTGTTACCACGGCCCTAAGAAACTAATGCACAGGTAATTGTTCTCCTAGAAATTATTATTTTTCCCTTGACATTGTAGATTCATTCTGCATCATGTGCAGCTTGGTATTCAGCCAAAGATTCAAGGGGACCCAGCATGTAGATCCTGAATTCCCTTTTTATTTACCTTGCTCTGGTGTCTTGATCCATAAATTTCCCACCTCTGGAACTCCAACTTTTAATTTCTCTTTTCAGTGCAGTGAGACTGGGTACTCTTAGAGCTTCCTCCAATCAGAAGAAGGGCATTCGTGGAGCTCACTTCATTTGTTTTTCTTTTCTCATGCATCACATCACTGTTTCCTACTTTGTCCCATTTTAAAGTTGCCTGCAATAGGAGGGCTAGCTAGATACGAGTTACTCCCTTATGTTCAGGAGTGGAATAACCTGCTCCTTTTTATCCAATATATAATATTAATCCTTTATTATCTGGCACCATTCTAGAATGTAACCCCCATGAGACCACAGACTCTCTTCTTCATGGCTATTTCCCCAACTTCTAGAACTTCGTGACACATAATTTGGTGTAATAAATATTTGCTGATTGAGTGAATGAAGCAGGGCTGACTTTCCACCAAAGAATCCATAAAGGCCAAGTATTTGTTTTACAAGCATGCTTTCTGGTGGACATCAGAACTTACCTAATCCCAGGTAAGCATAGCCAGATATGCTTACCTGGGATTAGGATCATGAACTGGTGACTCAGGAGAATCTATTTTGGAGACTAAACATCCAACCTTGCATCATGTTAACAGAGCAATGGCTTGCCTGGTGCCCTCTGTAATGTCCAGTACTATTTAGCTCTCTCAACAGCAGCGCCATTTTTATTAGGGTAGGTTTGTAACATGATTTTGATTTTAGGTCAGCTACCCATCTACCCTTATTTCTGCTCATTTTCTAGTTCTCATCCAGCTTTCCCAGTGATTCTGTGAGATACCCAGTATTTTCACAGTAAATTCGTTCTATGCTTAAATTATCCAAGGTTAGTCATTGTTTATAGCTAAGAGTTCTGACTAGTAAACTCTTTTAAAACTGCCCATGACTTCAATTCCACAGTATTTAATAAGAATTAGACCGAAACCGGTTTGGCTCAGTGGTAGAGCGTCAGTCTGCGGACTGAAAGGTCCCAGGTTCGATTCCGGTCAAGTGCATGTACTTTGGTTGCGGGCACATCCCCAGTGGGGGGTGTGCAAGAGGCAGCTGGTCAATGTTTCTCTCTCATCGATGTTTCTAGCTCTCTATATCTCTCCCTGTTTCTCTGTAAAAAATCAATAAAATATATTTTAAAAAAAAGAATTAGATGAGTGGTGTAAACATCAAGGATATTTTGCTTTAAATATGGAAAAATCCATGTTTTTTTTATAATAGGTCTCTACCTTGTGCATTTATGTAAATCAAATGTAGTGTTTAAAAGAGGCTATGACTCTTGCCAGCAGTTCTTGCCTCCTAATGTGTTTGCCGGACTTATTAATCAGTTTTTATTTCTAACCCTAGATTAGAAATCTTACTTCATTTTTACTTGATTATATCATACTGAGAACTATAAGATTGATTTTTCACTTGAAATCTTGACTTATATTTGCTTTGCTTTGTTATAAGTAGACATGCTAATAATACAGATTTATTTTCCCGTGTAGGAGTTTCATAATAGAAGAGCAGAGTTTCTTGTTATGTGAAGATCTTCTCTATGGAAGAATGTCCTTCAGAGGATTTAATCCTGAGGTTGAGGTATTAATATAATTACTTTAAATTTAAAATTTTTCCAGTTGGATTCTTTCTGCTAATAATTTGGTTTAGGTTTTTCCCCACCAGGTACCATTTCTCCTTATTATATGGAAAATAACACAGTCTTGAAATACTGCCATAGCTATTTAAAGAAATTGCAGGCATTGCAGTCTAGTTTTATAGTAGAATTGAGTAGATAATTTAATATAGCAGTATACGTTCCTAACAGTGCCACTGTAAGTGCTAGAATTTCAGCTCGGGTCTTTTACGGGAACATCAGGATTTTATTCATATGATGCTATTCTGAAAAATTATTCTCTGGCATCTATAAATGTATCTTTGCTACTGGAAAAAAAAATGTTACTTAAAAATTGAGTAATTTGACTTTTTAATGGACAGGTTTTGATCCAAACTTGTAAATAGATTTTTAAAAGAATCTTTTGGTAAATTGGTTTGAAAAGTAAAATACCAGAAGTCGCCTTAAAACTGCTCTGTTCATTTGAATTTTTCTGCTTCGGGTTTTTAAAGAAGCACAAGCCTTCACTTAACTAATATCAGAAATCTGGTTGTATATTAAAAGCCATCCTATCATATACTTAACCAACCTAATGGAGGTCTGTGATATAAAGCTTTAGTTTTATGACACTTAAAGCCAGGGTTTCTCAGCCCTGGCATTATTTGATGTGTTTAGTCAGATTGTTCTTTGTGGTGTAGACTGTCTTGTGCATTGTAGGATGTTTAGCAGCATCCCTGGTCTCTATTCTCTACTCCCTAGACACCAGTAGTATGTACATACACACATACACACACACCCGTTGTGACAACCAAAAATGTCTCCAGACATTGCCAGAGGTCCCTTGGTGAGCAGAATCTCCCTCATTTCTCTAAGGATGCCTGTAGTCAACCACAGCTAACCAAGTTAATTGCAAACTTTTATTTAAAGATTATAGTTTAATTTCCTATCCCTCTTCCCCTTTTTAAAGGGTATAATACTTAAGCTGTTAAATTTACTTTATATAAAATCAACACTAAAAGTGTTTTTAATATATGTGTTTGTTTTTCCTTGTTTTGGCCTGTTTAAAGCTTTAGATTGGACAAAGAAAGTGGGCAGTGGAACAAAGGAGAGGAAAAAGCAGATAATGAGTGTGTTATACTCAGAGACGGGGGCTGTGGGTGGGCAGGCCCCCAAAGTATGTCTGGTATGTGGGAAAAGGAGTTGATTTGGGCCTCAGAATTTGATGGGGAGGTCATTGGGAAGTGGCTTTAATTATGGGCACTCTGTACCATTGGGTATATTCTCTCTGGGGGAAAGTTTTAAATTGTTTGGTTTGTAGATCTGAACTATCATAAAATGTGAGAAAAGTGATATACTTGTTTATGAAAAAAAATGATACCAATTTGAGAGCACTTAGTTTATAAGCAGGACATTTTTAGAACACATGTTTAATATTGTATGTGTTTCTAGTAACACCTGGCATAGAGTTCATCTTGTCAGTCCATATTTATTCTGTGCCTGTGATGCATCAGCCCTCTTGAAGCACTGGAAATGCAGCAGGGAACCCAATTGTATGCCCTCACAGAGTTTGTGTTCCCAAAATTATTTTATTTTTAGTACTTTAAGTGTTGGAAAAGCTAATTGAGACTGGTTTCTCATCTGCTTTCCCTTCCTTGTTCTACCTTTGCTATAAAGAAAGTACTATACAGTAAAAGTAAGATCTGTTCGAGGGTAACTATCAAGTAAAGGTTAATGTGAGATAAAAGGATGGAGAGAAGCCCATGACGAATGGACATCATAGGGGAAACATTATCCACCCTCATGTTTGGAGGTGAGGCAGTCCTCCTCATTATACCAAGGCCCATTTTGCAGTTCTTCCATCCAGCAATTTGCTGCCCTGCAATAACCACCACCATTAAAAAAAAAAATCATTTAAAATTACTCTTGACTATAATATTTCTTACATTTGGCTCAAAGATGGGAAGTTAGGAGGAAATCTGAAAGTTTACTTTTTCTTTCCCCTACTCACTAGAATATGTTAGCAGTGTATCTGTTTATTTTTTTTAATTACAATTGACATACAATATTATGTTTCAGGTATCCACACCATGATTGGATATTTATAGAACTACAAAGTGATCACCTCAATAAATTTAGTAACCATCTGACACCATACATAATTATTAGAATACTAAAGGCCTGATGCATAAAATTTGTGCACAGGTGCGGTCCTTAGGCCGGGCCAGTGATCAGAGCACAAGCATTTGGCGTAGAAAAGCAGGTCCCAACTGACCTCTGGGCCCCAGGGTCCCAAGCCAATTTCCTCAGCACCTGGGAGCCAGGTGGCAGCCCTGCCCTCTACCACAACCGCCGGTCACTATCTGGTCAACGTCTGCAGGGCAATCAGCGGGACGATCAGCCAGGTGATTGGGCTTATCCCACCTTGGCCTGGTGCTGCCCACTCACCTGTTGCACCATCCTGCCATGGTCCCGCTCTCGTCGGGTCCCATCAGGGCCAGTAGCACCTCCACTGCCACCCCCTGCCAGCGCCATGTCACTGATGCCTGCCATATTTTGCGCTATCACCTGGTGGTCAATACACGTCATAGCAAGCAGTTGAACTCCTGCTTGAGGGGACATTTTGCATATTAGGCTTTTATTGCATAGGATTGTTGACTACATTCCCTATGTCGTATTTTATTCCCCATGACTATTCTGTAACTACCAATTTGTCCTCTTAATCTCTTCACCTTTTTCATCTATCTGCCAAACCACCCTCCTGTCTGCCAGTGGTCAAAATGTTTTCTACATCTATGCATCTATTTCTGTTATGCTTGTTTGTTTATTTTGTGTTTTAGATTGGTTCCATGCATAAGTGAAGTCATCTGACATTTGTTTTTCTGATTTTCTTTTTGTGTTTCTGTCTCTAAGTCCATTCATGTTTTTATAGATTGTAAGGTTTTTTTTTCTATGATTCAGTTATATTTCATTATATATATGAACCACTTCTTTATCCATTCATCTATTGATGGACACTTAGGTTGCTGCCATAGCTTAGCCTTCTATATATAGAAAACCCTAATATGCAAATAGACAGAACAATGGAACAACCAAACAACCAGTTGCTATGATGTGCACTAACCACCAGGGGACAGCAGACAAAGCAGAGGCAGCTGCAGCAGGATGGTGGAGCAGGTGAGCGGAGGCAACAGACCAAAGCAGGGCACTGGTCATTGTCATTGGGACAAGCCTCTGGTGGTTACTGAAAATTCTTCCCACACACCACAGTCCCACCCAGCGCTCCCACCTGCTGCCGGCACCGAAGCCACTGTGAGTGGCAGCTGCTGGCCCTAGTTGCCTCTCAGGGCTTCTCCATCTCCCCCTGCTCCTGAGGGGTGATTGGGGCTGGCAGCCACCACTCACAACCAGTGCTAGCGCTGGCCCCACCCACTGCTTGAGCCATCAGCAGGTGCGAGCAGGGCTGGTGCCATCAGTGTGTGGGAGTGGCAGCAGCTGGAGAGGGGCTACAAGTAGACAGGGGACAGCGGGCCATGGCAAAGGTGTGGGCCAGGGGCACAAAGATGAGATGAGACCCACCTCCTTGCCTACCGCAACCTCGAGACCCACAGTTCTTTTCAAGGTGCAAGAATTCGTGCACTGGGCCCCTAGTTGTAAATAATGCTGCAGTGAATGTGGGTATGTCTTTTCAATTTAGTGTTTTCACTTTCTTCATATAAATAATCAGAAGTAGAATTGCTGGGTCTTCCTTTGTCTCTTGTTATAGCCTTAGTTTTAAAGTCTGTTTTGCTGGTATAAGAATTGCTTCTCCAGATTTATTTCCATTTTCATAAACTATCTTTTTCTATCCTTTTACTCTTAGTTTGTGTGTGTCTTTTGGTCTGAAGTTAGTCTCTTATAGACAGCATATGTAAGTCTTTTTTTCTTATTCATTCAGCCATCATATACCTTTTGATTGGAGCCTTTAAACAATTTGCATTTAGTGTAATTATTGATAGATATGTAGTTTTTATTGCCACTTTATTTCTATTTTTATCATTTGTCTTCCTTGTCTTATAATACTATTTTGGTAGTGATGAACTTTTTTAGCTTTTGTCTGGGAAACTCTTTACCTGTCCTTTAATTCTAAATGATAGCTTTTCTGAGTAGAGTAATTTTGGTTGTAAGTCCTTGGTTTTCATCACTTTGAATATTTTGTGGCATTCCCTCTGGCCTGCACAGTTTCTGTTGAAAAGTCAGCTGACAGTCTTATGGGAACTTTCTTGTAGGTAACCAACTGCTTTTCTCTTGCTGCTTTTAAGATTCACTCTTTGTGTTAAACTTTGACATTTTAATTATGGTGTGTCGTGGTCTGGGCCTCTTGGGTTCATATTACTTCGGACTCTGTGCTTCCTGGACTTGTATGTCTGACACCAGATGAGGGAAGTTTTCTGTCATTTTTTCAAATAGGTTTTCAATTTCTTGCTCACTTCTCCTTCTGGCACCCCCCATGATGTGAATGTTGGTACACTTGAAGTTGTCCCCAAGGCTTCTTATACTCTACTCATTTTTTTGTATTCTTTTTGCTGTTCTGATGTCAGTTTTCTGCTTCCTTAACTTCCTAATAGCTGATTTGGTCCTCTGCTTCATCTTCTCTACTGTTGATTTCTTATAATGTATTCTTCATTTTAATTATTGTTCTCTTCATTTCTGACTGGTTATTTTTGTTTTCTTTCTCCATTTTTATATGACTCTTCGTTGAAGTTGTCACTAAGTTCATCTACTCTTCCCCAAAGATAATCCTTACTAGGTGTACCAGTTAATAATAGTGGATTTTGTAATCAAAGAAAACAAGAGAAACATCAAAAGTGCTTTATTCAAAGTAATGTCTATTACTAGCTAAACATTTCCTCATCTATCAGGTAATTTGTGGATACCATCCCCCCAATAGGACTTTTCTTGTTTTGAGGCAAACCAGTCAGAGACCCAATTTTCTACTGCTTCATACATTTTGAAGTGCTACTCAGAAAGTGTGTGTGTCATCGATCAGAACAAGTGGTAATCTGAAGGAGCAAGGTCTGATGAATACAGCGGGTGGGTTAATACTTCCCAGGCAAGATCTTTTAACGTGTCTTTAGCTGGTTTTGAAATGTGTGATGGTGCATCATCATGAAGCAAAATTATTTTGCTTTGTCTTCTGGAATATTCTGATTGTTTCATGATCAAATCGTGGTTTAAATTGATTAGTTGTTGTCAGTAGTGATCAGTACTAATGGTTTCACCTGGTTTTAGAAGCTCATAATATACCACACCTTCCTGATCCCACCAAACACAGACCACTGTCTTCTTTCCGAAGCGATTTGACCTTGCAGTCGATGTTGATGGTTGACCTGGATCAATCCATGATTTTGTACATTTGGGATTCTCAAAATCAGTTTACTTTTCATCACCAGTCACAATTCGATGCAGAAAAGATTTTTTTTTTGTGCCATTGAAGCAACATTTTACTGATGACTTTTTTGTTTTCCATTTGTCTTTTGTTCAGTTGATGTGGCACCATTTTCCTTCCTTTAAAACCTTTCCCATTGCTTGTAAACAATCAGAAATTGTTTGCTGAGCAACGTTTATCTTTCTACAAGTTGTTTTTGAGTTTGACACACATCTCCATCCAATAATGCTTGTAATTGTTGGTCTTTAAACTTTTTCAGTTGACCTGGACATTCTTTGTCTTTCACATCAAAGTCATCACTTTTATAGCATTTAAACCAACATTCACAAGTATCTTGAGATGGAGCATATTTACCGTAAGCTTCCCAAAGTATTCAGCAGTACTTTTCTTCAAAATAAAGTAATGATTGGCACGAAATTCAACAATTTTAAGCGTAAAAATATTTATGATATTAATGCCTTCAGTAAATTTGACATATGAAGTTTTTAAGCTTGTCAATACAACAAAATTAGCATACATATCAAATTGTATCTATATCAACATATATGTAACTTCATCTATTGAAAAAAAATTGCATTTTTAATGGGTACACCTGGTATAACCATTGTTTTAAACTCTGCATGTGGTAAATTGCTTGACTCCATTTTGTTTAGTTCTGTTTCTGGAGTTTTGTTCTGTTTTTTGGGGGGACATGATTCTTTGTCTCCTAATTTTATCTGTTTCCCTGTGTTTGTTTCTGTGTATTAGGTATATCTGTTACATCTCTCAGTGTTGGTAGCCTTATGTAGTGGGTGTTTTCTCAGGCCCAGTGTTGTAGCCTCCCCAATCACCTGAGCTGGGCACTCCCAACGATATCCCCTATGTGGGCTATATGAACCCTGTTGTAGTTGAACATTAACTGCTATTGGCATGTCAGTGGTAGGAATTTACCCCCAGGACAATCAGCTTAGAGGACCGACTGAGAGCATCATGGAGAATCTGTTACATAGGAATTGACCCCACAAAGCAGGACTTGCCTTGGTGGATCTCTGGTGCCCACTGAGTTAACCTCCTGAGTGTGTTATTCATGGAGGTGGTTGGGTTGTAAACCAGCATGGTCTGAAAGCTGTCCACTGGGTGTGCTGGCTCTGGGGCATCCTAGGAAGTACAGGCCAAGGCTAGCAACTGCCTGTGCCCTGCACTGGGCCACAGTATGAACTGCAGAACAATTTGCAGATGATTGCTACTTGTGTGGGCTTGGAGGAGCCCAGGAGAGGCTAAGCTTCGAACCAAACTGGTTGCTGCTGGTGCTGGGCCTGAGGCCACTTAGCAAGAAATACAGATGCTGCCTTTTTGAAGATTTTAGGGAAGTCCACAGCATGAGCCAAGACAGGCTATTTGTATAGAAAAGCTGCTAGGAGTGGCTTTTGTGGCCTCACAAGTTGGATGGGTCAGGGAGGACAATGTTTTAGCCAGGTTGGTGAAACTCACCACTCTCCAGTTGAGGGGAGGGTTCAGCTAAGGAACAGTGGCCTCTTCCAGCACTCTGGTCTGGGAGAAAGGCCTATCTGATGCCAGACATTCATTTTCTCCCTGTATGTCCCTAGAGCTTTTCAAGTTGTTGTCTCAGAGCTGGAGTTCAGGACAAGTGAATTTAAGTAAGTCCATGTGCAGGGTGTTTAAGAGGAACACCTGGAACTCCAGTCACAATTTCCTCTGGTTTTTACAGCCAGAAATTATTAGGACTACTCTTCCCTGCACTGGAACCCTGGGGCTGGCAGGACAGTGTGGGCCTGGGGCCCTTTGCTCACCAGGTGGGACCTGTGCAGCTGAAATATCTCTCCCAATTTTTAACCACCACACATTGGTATAGCAGTGTGTCTGCTATAGATATAAGTAACTAATAATCATATTTATGATCTAAAATACAATTTAGCCGAAACCGTTTTTAGCTCAGTGATAGAGCGTGGGCCTGCAGACTGAAGGGTCCCGGGTTCGATTCCGGTCGGGGGCATGTACCTTGGTTGCGGGCGTGTCCCCCTTGGGGGATGTGCAAGAGGCAGCTGATCGATGATTCTCTCTCCTCGATATTTCTAACTCTCTATTCCTCTCTCTTCCTCTCCGTAAAAAAAAAATCAATAAAAATATATTTTAAAAAAATTTTTTTAAATACAATTTAATTAACAAGTCTAATCTAGTGGGACTTTATCTTATCTATGTTTTTAATTCAGAGAAGACTTGTGTTAGTACATCATGGAATAAAGTAGTACAGAAAACATGAATTTTTGTTAGTCCTATAGAGTCTGGCCTCTGCTTCTCTTCCTTCAAATACATTTGACACCAGTTCCTTTCACAAGCCCTTTTCAGCTCTGATGGCCAGTGTTGGTGTATTTTTCAGAAATTAATGCTTCAGATGAATGCTAAGAACAAAACAGAAGAAGTTGAAGATGAAACAGTGGAGCTTGATGTGTCAGATGAAGAAATGGCTAGAAGGTAACCATTACTTGGGACAGCTTTGTGCCCAGTGTTCACTGGCTATCACAAACACATGTGCCTTTCTCTTAACCCGTGGTCTACCCCAGCAGGAAATGATTGTTACTACTTTCTCTGATATGACCTGGGATGGATTCATACTGCCACAGGTTGGCAGTTGGGGGCTCATTCCAGTGCTGTTTCCAATACATATTTTAAATACACATCTCAATTTATGTAGGATAATACAAAAACAAAAAATAGGGGAGAATTTAATCATTCTTAGAGAAGTTTATACATTTTTAAATCAGATGGCTTACTTTAATCATAGTTCTGATTTTTCTTATTTTTTTGTTGCATTATTGGTTTTTAGAGAGAGAGAAATAGAAACATCAATAATGACAGAAAAACTGCCTCCTACACCCTCCTCCCCCTGCTAGGGTTAGAGCCTACAACGCATGCATGTACCCTGATGGACCAGGAATCAATCTGATGGCCTCTTGGTTCAAGGGTTGACACTCAACCACTGTGAGCCACACCTGCCAGCCTTTGTTGCATTCTTGACAAGACGTGATTCCTGCCTTTTTTATTTGGAATTGAATTTGTGCTATTTATCATCTTAACAGATATGAGACCTTGGTGGGGACAATTGGGAAAAAGTTTGCCAAGAAAAGAGACCGTGCCAATTACGAAGAAGATGAAAATGGAGACATAAAACCAATTAAAGCAAAGAAGATGTTCTTAAAGCCCCAAGATTAAAAAGTATGCCTTAAGATATGGCTCAGAGATGCCTCGTGAGAGTTAACATATTTTGGAACTCATTCCAGTGGTTTTTCTATAGTTATTAATATTGTAATGTTTATTTGTAAAGAAATGTATAATTTTGGAAACATGCTGTTTTTGAAACAGATGTATGATGGATGTTATACATCCTTTGCTTAATATGGTATTCCTCAAGAGTGGATTTTTAGCCCTTGATCTTCAAATATACAAAGGCAATGTTTGCTTCCTAAAAAATGTCTTGCCCCAGATTTTTTTAAAATATGTCTTTTCAATCGCTGGCCTTAAATTTACAGATAACGTAATAATAGTGTTTAAATTGTCCTTATATTTGCATTTTACTTTAAATTATTAATAATGTTAAGTCCTTTCATACATTTTGGAATCAAATGTTATGAGAATTTATTCTATATAAATTCATCAAGAACAAACATGCCTCTCTGGCCTAAAGTATTTGCATGCGGCCAAGTCATTCAGTTTGTGGAATTAAGTAGTTTTGTTTAAAGCTTTTAATTAACAAGAAAAAAAATGTTCTGTAATAAACATCTGTTTTCATGTATTTTTCTATTGTCTTACACTTTCAAATAATAATTTTAATTAAATTCAGTATTGGAACTTTAAAAAAAAACAAACAGCCACTAATTTAGAAGATGGTAGCATATTAGATTGAACCATAAAATTTACTTTTATGAGTGGAAACCATCAATTTTTTATAGTAAAGTTCAGTAGAATTTGCTACCCCCCAGATTATCTCCTAGTCTGAACCTTATTCTCAGTAGTAAGTAGAGAAGCCCGTGGAATTTAGTGTATATATATGCCTGTGTCTGCCTGGAAATATGTACCTAGGACTTCCTAGCAATACCCTTCTAGCTCTCTACATCCTGGAGCAGAAGCCAGAAGTTCTTGGTGCTTTGCCAGCATCACAAACCATTAATTTATGGACTGTCTTATTCACTCTTGTTTGCACAGTATTACTTTTGATAACCAAACCCATTTCATAAAAAATAAGTGGGGCAATGAGTTTGTGCCTTTGGAATTCACTAGTCTTTGCTCATACCCCCACATAGAGGAGCAGCAGGTATAATAGAATGGTGGAATGGCCCAAAGTGGGATACAAAACTCCATCTTAAAAACTCGATGCTTTGAATCAGTGACCACTTAATGGGGCTGTTGATCTCATCATAGAATAAATGATCTGGAATTAAGCAGAGGTAGAGAAAAGTGGCACCTCTCACAGTTACTCTCAGTAACACATTCACAAATGTTTTGCTTACTATTTCCTCAGTGTTGAACTCTGGAGGTCTGAGTTTGCAAAGGAGGAGTGTTCCCACCAGGGACACAAGATTATTCAGACAGAAATTGAAACAATCTGGTCATTTAGCCACTAAACCAGTAGGCAAAGAAGATTACTCCCCTGGCTGGTACAGGAGAACAAGGGCACTTGTGCTGTTTCTACATGGTGGGTGAGGGAGAATGACTTGGAACCCAAGACTGTAGCACTTCAATGTCCATTGACAAACTTGAATGGAAAACAATCACTTCAGAGGCAGAAATGATATAGACAGTGTAGGCAATGAAGTCTTAGGTTACCTTATGAGATATAAACCCAAGAGATCCTGGCTGAGAGAAGAGAAAGAATGAGCTTGTTACTACAGGCTTGTGATGAATTATAAGTGACCAAGCAGTTATGCATATTTTCTTCTTTGCTGAGAGTGTACTAATTTCTCATTTTTACTGTATATGGGATTTAGAGGGTTGATGTTGCTAATAAAGTTGTTTTTCTTGCAGGAAGTTTAATCATATTTAGAAGTGCATGCATGTGGATGTAGAATAGCACAAGGAGACAACTGTAATAGATATTAATTTGTTTTTCAGACTCAAACTCACCCTTCTATCAGCTTTTGGTGCTGTAGGTGGCTAATAGAAGCAGGGTATGCTATGTGATTAGTTAGATATTCATACTTGACTTTCTGGTTGGTCCTAAGTTAGAAATGGGGACAAAAATCAGGGAAGCTATCAGTTATTAATAAGTCTTTACTTTTTGAAGCTAATTGTTATAGAAGTTATTGTTTAGCTTCGTAGATTGTCACGAGATATACCATCTGGCTTCCTGCAAGGCTGGAGTTTAGTAAAGATAAGGGGTTGTTTTTTTGGGCAGGTTCCTGCAGATTATGGGTCAAAAGTTCTATTTGTATAGATAGCCTAACCATTGTCCATTTGTATATTCAGTCTCAGTGCTTAAAGTTTATTTCTAATCATACTATAAAATGCAACTGTTTAGCTCTAACCGGTTTGGCTCAGTGAATAGAGCATCAGCTTGCGGACTGAAGGGTCCCGGGTTCACTTCCAGTTAAGGGCATATACCTTGGTTGTGGGCACATCCCAGTAGGGAGTGTACAGGAGGCAGCTGATAAATGTTTCTCTCATCGATGTTTCTAACTCTTTATCCCTCTCCCTTTTTCTCTGTAAAAAAAAAATCAATAAAATATATATATATATATATATATATATATATATATATATATATATATTTTAAATGCAACTGATCATTATTCTGTGGAAATATGCACTTAATTTAAGAAGATGCCACCAGTGGAATTAGGGATTTTTGTGGCTGTAGCCATTGACGGAGCTGTCTATGTTAGAGGCAGACACTTCAGCATTTAGTGCCCCAGGGACAAGGCCACCAAATCAGGCAACTGAAAACTTTTTTGTTATTTCAGATCTTGTGGAGGAAAACTTAGCCAATACCATTGGCTAATGGATATAGAATTCAATTCAAAAGATAACCATCGCCGAAACCGGTTTGGCTCAGCATCGGCCTGCGGACTGAAAGGTCTCAGGTTCAATTCTGGTCAAGGGCATGTACCTGGGTTGTGGGCACATCCCCAGTAGGGGGTGTGCAAGAGGCAGCTGATAGATGATTTTTCTCATGGATGTTTCTAACTCTCTATCCCTTTCTCTTCTTCTCTGTAAAAAATCAATAAAATATATATATTTTTTTAAAACACATCGATTCGCTGGAATTCATATTGGTTGATTAACTTTATCAAAGAGAAGATGTAGCTATCATAGTAGTCTCAAGAAAATCCCTAGAGAACTTAAACTTTGTATATGTATTTTATGAAGATAACCGTTTCTCCTGAAACACAGTTGCCTAATGAAATGAGTTGCCAAATGAAAGACATTTCCCCAATCCTGGCCTCAGAGAACACACAGATGCCATGTTGTTTCAGTCCAATATATGTTGGAGTTTCTAAAAGAAAGTCTGTGGCCTGACATGCCTTCTTCCTGTAGGAATATCCTTACATGGGTAGTTTATTAATAAAGTATTTGATGATTCTGTAAGTTCTAATAAACGATAAGCATCTCATTACACAGTAAGTTCTCATTTTAATCATTATGAAATCATTAATCCATAAATGTACCCTGTTTACCTCTATTTAGACAAAGAAATCATTTGTACAGAAACGATACCACTTTCCAAACCAACACCTCAATTTTATATCCTAGAGTTTCCTCAACTTACTTTTCTTGTTTTCTTCTAAAGCTCTATTTCCACTTTCCCCAAGGAAAAAAAATATGCCCTGGGTTTCAGATATTCATTTTAAAGCAGGAGCCCTAGACTTGTTTGTACTGTCACACTGTTCTCCGTACGGTATATTTATTCCGGATGGTTTCATTTGCTAAAATCTCTTCCATCAGCATTGGGCTTGAGAAAATCCATGATTAGCAGGGGCAATCCTGTGTTATTGCAAAATTGCAACAGGATCAAATAAGACCATTCAGATAATGAAGATCTGACAAATATTGGCAGACCATGATTTCAGTGACTTCTCTCCCACGCACAGCAGGCTCTCACACCCACGTCCCTTTCTTTGATCTCTGCCCTGATCATTGTCCCACAATCTCCTCCCTCATACAACACCATGTCAAATGGATTCCATCCTTGACCCTGATACTTCTCTATTCCCATCTTGGATTCTCATTTGACCTCAAGGGGGATGTCACAGTAGAAAAGGAGAATAACATAGGATCAAGTTTGCAGTTCAAATCAATAGACCAGATTCTGGAGTCAACAGTAACAGAAAACCTCGGTCAGGAGTCAGGTATTTACTCAAAAGGGGAGCTGATAAAGATGGGACTAAACTGTTAGCTGGAGGAAAATAAGGCAAGGTGGAAGCAGCTGCTCTGCTAGATAATTCCCCAAAAGAGTAACTACTGTGATGTGTGAAGGACACCTGAGAGAGAAACATTGATTTGTTGTTCCACTTATTTATGTGTTTATTGGTTGATTCTTGTATGTACCCTGATGGGGAATCGAACTGACAATCTTGGCATATTGGGAGGATGCTCTAACCAACTGAGCTACCTGGCCACAGTTAAGGAGATCTGTCATTAAATGTCAGCCATATACTGGGAAGATTGCTGACATTATTCATTTGACTCGGCCAGGCACTGAATTATGGGGTGGAGGTGTAAAATATTCTATTTATCCACGAAGAAACGAGGCATGAAAAAAGCAAACCTAGCTGGTTTGGCTCGGTGGATGGAGCGTCAGCCTATGGACTGAAGGGCCCCAGGTTCTATTCCAGTCAAGGGCATGTACCTTGGTTGTGGGCACATTCCCAGTAGGAGGTATGCAGAAGAGATCTGATCAATGTTTCTCTCTCATTGATGTTTATAACCCTCTCCCTTTCTGCAAAAAATCAATAACATATATTTGAAAAAGAAACAAGTCACAGAGTCATTCAGTAACTTGCCTAATGTCACACAGCTGTTAAGCGATGGAGCCAGGATCTGAACCCACATTCACTGACCTCAAGTCACATGCCCTTTCTCTTATATCACACTATAGTGAGAAGCAAAAGAATAGAATTGGGAAACATGAATAAAATAGCCTAGGTCCATAAAATTCTAATATTTTCCAAATATAATCTTTCAAAATCATATTGTATTGCCTGACATTTTTTAATATG